ATACAAAACAGCATTTATTCTATTTATAAATCATAACCATGTTTTAAATCAGGCAAAACTAATTTATAGTGAAAAAAGTCAGAGGAATGGTTGCCTCTGGATGCAGATGAGGATTGAATGGGCAGGAGCAGAGGGAAATTTCTAGGGTATAGTCATGTTTTATGTTTTCATAAAGATTTGGGTGACGCAGGTGTATGTATTTCCTGCATTTTTCAGAACTCATCAAATTGTTTTCTCAAGATTCTGTACCTCACTGTATGTAAAATTTACCTTAAAATGGTAGTGTAAAAAATATTACATTCTAATTAATGATTTGTATGCTGAAGTGTTCAGAAGGTGCTATAAATGGAATGTTTGTGTTCCCCCCAAATTTATGTTGAAAATTTGAAATTCCACACGTTGAAACGTAATCCCCAATGTGATGGTATTTGAAGATGAGGCCTCTGGGTAGTGATTAGGTCATGAGGTTGGAGCCCTCTTGAATGAGATTAGTGCCCCATAAAAGAGAACCCAGAGGGTTCCCTTGCCGATTCCACCATGTAAAGACGCAGTGAGAAGACAGCCATCTGTGAATCAGGAAGCAGACCAAATCTTCTGGCACCTCGATCTTGTACTTTCTAGCCTCAAGAACTGTGAGAAATAAATTTCTGTTGTTTATGAACCACCAGTCTATGAAAATTTGTTATGGTGGCCCAAACAGGCTAAAACCAGTGAAGTCTGCAACTTACTTTGAACTGTATCTAAAGATACAATCGGCTGATGGATGGATAAAGGAAAGAATAGATAGCTAATAGTGTAATAAATATGATAAAATGTTAACAAAGTAACAAGTAACAGAGAAATTTGTGAAAAACATCTGGAGATGCAATAGTGATGGTGGAGTTTGTGGGACTAGGTGCTGTTTTAAACTGATGTCTATGGGTTGGTGTCTTAGTGTGTTTTGTGCTGCTATAACAAAATACCTGAGACTAGTTGACTTAGAAACAACAATTCTGAACAACAGTTCTGGAGGCTGGGAAGTCCAAGATCAAGGCACTGCCATGTGGCCTGGTGAGGGCCTTCTTGTTGTGTCCCCACTGGTGGAAGACGGAGGGGCAAGAAAGGGAAGAGCACCATGTCCTCACATGGTGCAACTGCAGAAGAGAGAGAAACAACTCCTACAAGCCCTTTTTTTTGGCAGCATGAATCCATTCATGAGGGCAAACCCCTCATGACCTCTGCACCTCCCATTTGGCCCACCTTTCAATACTGTTGCATTGAGGATTAAGTTCCCAACACATGAATTTTGGGGGTCACACTGAAACCATAACAGTTGGTGTCTTGGGCCTGGGGCAGGAAGCAGCTTGGGAAGGTTGTGAGAGGAGAAATAAGAAAAGAAACAGTTCCAATTGTACTCTAGTTTCCCTCACCACTGCCTTGGACAGACAGTGACCCACATTTTATATTGGTGTCCTCCAGACAAAAATCAGGGTAGTACAGAGCCTTGAGCTTGTGAAATGCTGAAAGAACAATGGAAAAAAAAAAAGGCTCATTAGACAGAAACTAAGAAAGATTTTATAGCTATATGAATATTAAAAAAAGATTTAAAAGACTTTAGGAAAAACAGCATCATTAGAAAAGGAGAAAGTTACTAAATAACTTAATAGGAAGGGAAAACAACTTTAGACACTTATGTACAATTCCTTGTAATAAATGAAGACTATGTGATATAACTGTAAAAGAAGTGGAGAAATACATCATTGTGAGGGATTTAAATTACTTTACTTGATTGTTTTATCAAACAGACGAAGAAAAATCTGCAAGGATATAGAAAATAAGAACTTTACAATGAATAATCTTGACCTACTGGACATATATAGAGTTCTGCATTTAACAATGAGAGAATTTACATTTTTAAAGCCCAAATGGAACATTTACAAAAATGAATCTTATACACAAAACCTCAAAATTGTAAAGAATGGGTGTTATACAGACCAAAACTTATGACCTCATGGCAGTGAAGCTAGAAGTTAAAAACACTTCTAAGTAACTCATAGGTTAAAGAATAAATTATAATAAAAATTGTAAAATAACTGAACGAAAATAAAAATACCACGTTAAAACTTATAGGATTCAGCTAAAGGAGTTCTTCAAGAGAAATTTATAGCCATAAATACTTATAATAGAAAAGATGCATCAAAATTAATGAATGAAGAAGTTAAAAATAAAATAACCAAAAAGAAAGCAGGAATAAAGATATAATATGATTGAGTGAAAATTGATGAAAGAGACAATAAAAATAAGAGTGAAAAATTATGACCTACAGTAAAAGGTGAATTCTTAGGGGAAAAAAAAGAAGGATTCACTTATATGAGAATTTGTTTCAACCAGACTTGGGAGTATCATAGGGGTGCAGAAAGCAGCGTATATAAAGGACCCACTTTTCATATAGTAGAGTTGCCAATAGAGTTTCATATAATATGCGTGGATTTTGTTATATGCAGGGGTCTTGGTACCAATCCCCCATGTATGCTGAGGGACAACTGTATATAAAATCTCCAGGTATCATCCTAAATGGGAAAACTTTATAGTCATCTGGGGAAACAAGACAAGGATATCCAAGAAATCCATTTCTATTTAACACAGGATTGAATGTCCTAGTGCTGGAGATCCTAGCCAGGGCAGGAAAAGAAACTGGAGTCTAAGGATTGGAAAGGAAGAAATAAAACACTAGGTGTGTGGTAACTTGTTACGCAGCAACAGAAAACAAATACAAATACAAAATACTTAAGAATAAATCTATAAAAGATGCAAGATATTTATATAAATGAAAGACACATAGGAAAAATTTCAACATTGTATTAAGAGATAGGAGTCCTAAATAAATGGAGAGATATTACATATTCATAAAATGTAAGACATAACTAAGCAATTGTCAGTTCTTTCAAAATTGGTCTATCGATTCAAGGCAATGCTGATAAAAATCTCGTTTTCTTTACGGAACTTGATAACTCTAAATGTTGTAGCAAATTATAAATTCTAAATGACTACTTCTAAACTGTATATTAAAACTTAAGGCCATGTGTGGTGGCTCAATCCTGTATTGCTAGCACTTTGGAAGGCTGAGGCTGGAGGATTGCTTGAGGCTGGGAGTTCAAGACCAGCCTGGGCAACACAGTGAACCCCTGTCTCTACAAAAATAAAGACATAGGAAAAACTTACAAAATTGTATGAAGAGAAATGAGTCCTAAATAACACAGTGAGACCCTGTCTCTACAAAAATACAAATAAATTAGCCAGCCTGGGCACAGAGTAAGACCTCGCCTCTACAAAAAATAAGCCAGATATGATAGAGTGTACCAGTGGTCCCAGCTACTTGGGGCGGTGGGGATATGTGGGGGGTATGGACAGCGGGTGATGGTGGTGGCTGAGGTAAAAGGCTGCAGTTCTAGTTCTTGTATTATCTAGTGTGATATCGGCGATACATGCACTCCTCCTTAACTGAGGCAATTAAAGACAAGGTGTCACAGACCACTAAACACTATAGTTGTGCCACTGCACTCCAGCACATCTGGATGTGCTGAGGTCATAACAAGGCTTGAGGAGGCACATCTCACACGTGCTTTTGAAAATCTAATCATCGTGCTTACGAGCTACAAAAGAATTGGAGGCAACATTTTAAAAATACTTTTTCAGGCCAGGTGCTGTGGTTCACACCTGTAATCCCAGCACTTTGGAAGGCCCAAGCGGGTGGATCATCTGAGGGCAGGAGTTAGAGACCAGCCTGGCGAACATGGTGAAACCCCGTCTCTACAAAATACAAAAATTAGCCGGGTGTGGTGGTGTACGCCTGTAGGCCCAGCTACTCAGGAGGCTGAGACAGGAGAATCACTTGAGCTCAGGAGGTGGAGTTTGCAGTGAGCCGAGATCATGCCACTGCACTCCGCCTGGGTGACAGAGTGAGACTCTATTTTAAAATAAAATAAAAGCACTTTTTCAAAGACATGGCTACTGTTCAGATGCTTGTATTTTTAGGGTATGTGTGTGTGTTAAAAAACTTTCCAGTGAATAACGCAAGTATTCATTCGTAACCTCAATGTGTACTGTACAGGGAATTATTCCTGCCAAATTAATTCTGCCTCTAAGCCCCTATTTTGGTAGGTAGGCAGAAAATAGTTGTAACTGGGGCTCCCTCCCCCTGCCTAGGGCCACATACACATTTAGGGTTTGTATAAGCTACCAGGAAGGATGGAGAAAAGGCCCCCTAATCCTCCAGCTAGGATGATCACCTAGGAGATGTCTTTGTCCCAAGCCTGACCAGTCTCTGAATGTCTAGTGGTCCGCAGCTCCTGTGTCACTTTGTTGCACTGTAATTTGTGCCAACATTGGGAGCCTTGGGATACCAGGGCTTATTCTTACCATCTGGGACAAAACGCGGGCAATAAAAGGAAGTTTTCTTACACTAAATGTAAAGGAATTCAAAGTAGATTAATTGGCTTTTTAAAGTATATCCTTGGCCAGGCACAGTGGCTCATGTCTGTAATCCCAGCACTTTGGGAGGCCGAGGCGGATGAATCACTCAAGGTCAGGAGATAGAAATCAGCTTGGCCAACATGGCAGAAACCACCATCTCTATTAAAAATACGAAAATTAGCGAGCATGATGGTGCGTGCCTGTAATCCTAGCTACTACTCAGAGGCTGAGGCATGAGAATTGCTTGAACCCAGAAGGCGGAGGTTGCAGTGAGCTGAGATGGTGCCACTACACTTCAGCTGGTGACGACGTGAAACTCTGTCTCAAAAAAAACACAAACAACAACAACAAAAACCAAGAAACAAAAATAATGATATCCTTTCTACTTTTTTGATGTTAAAATGTCTTTCATGAAATAACCATAAGATGCTTAATATGTTTAATTTATTTAGCAAAATTAAGTGTTGGTACCTTTAGGTCCATTACAATTTTTGTGTGCGTAGGGGGTGGGGAAGGTTGTCAAAGATAAATAAAACTGGACATTAAAGTGGTGAAAAATAATTTTATTCAGTAATTACTAACAGGAGGGGAAAGAGCAGCATTCCATTTCAATGTAGAGGTAATTGAGCAGCTTACAGAGAGAATAGGGGAGGGTGAAAGAGCCGGAATGCATGCAAAAAATTTCAAAGTCAGTCAGTATAAAAGTGATTAGACCAGCTGTGTCAGCTAGCCGGCGATTATCACTGAAGTCAGGATTCTACCCTCCCACCAAGAATGGGAGACAGTAACCTTCCAGATGATTAAACTTCAAAGGAATGGCTTTCAGGTCCTTAGATACTCCTGAATTGTAGGAGAGAACACATACATGTCAAGGGGACAGAGGAAGGACTCACAATTGTAAGCTCTTTTTTTGTAAATGCTCCAAGAAAGGGGGTCAAGGGCCTATGGCCAGGTGGGCAGTATTCAGTTTTCTCTGGGAGACATTTAACCGAGAGGCCTGGGGAGAGATCTGCAGTCATCCTAGGAACACGACCTTTTGCTGCTACAAGCCTCACTACAGTCTGGTGGTCTCTTTTTGCTGAGGTTTTGACAAGGTCATTAAGTAACAAGAATTCTGTAGTTCTCATGATCCATATGTCATTATTAGGTAAAATCCGTTAGGTTTAAAATTAATTAGTGTAATCTCTTTGATATCTACATTGCTCCTTAACTGAGGCAATTAAAGACAGGGTGTCACAGATGTCTAAGCACTTCTAGATTCTAAAAACCCATAGCCTCAAAGGAGCACTGCCCCTCAAAGCTCACCCACACACACCTCCCCTTCGTTACCTAGAGAAAAAGACCAAGGCCTGATGACAAATTTTAGCATCAAACTTCTTAAGTGGCGCATGCCAACAGTTAGAAAAGGAGGCTTTTCATCCAGAGAGAACTGCACTGTCCTACACCATCACAAACCAAACACCTTAATGAAAGTTTGAAAGAAATTCTCAGACCTCCAGATACAGGGGACAGGGAAAACAGAAGTGCAAGAAAGAACAGCAACTGTTTACCACAAGGGCCTTTGGATAACTTCAAGAAATCGGCTACCCAAATTAGCTGCAGAAAGGCCTAAATTAACTAAAACAGTTACAATAAAACTGAAGTCCTGAGATTTTAATGTAACTCCAAATGCTAATATAGTTTCTTCAGATCTATCTTTCAAAAGCTTCCTAGAAATGTATTATGGCAAAATGTGGCTGTAAGTACAGGTCCTGTCACTGGCTGTATTCAACTAAAAAAAAAAAGAAAAAAGAAAAAAACAAAATGCGACTTTTTTTTTTTTTTTAAAAGACGGAGTTTTCACTCTTGTTGCTGGAGCGCAATGACTGGACCTCGGCTCACTGCAACCTCCTCCTCCCGGGTTCAAGCGATTCTCTTGCCTCAGTCTCCCGATTAGCTGGGATTACAGGCATGCACCATCAAGCCCGGCTAATTTTGTATTTTTAGTAGAGACGGGGTTTCTTGATGTTGGTCAAGGGGGTCTCGAACTCCCAACCTCAGGTGATCCGCCCGCCTCGGTCTCCCAAAGTGCTGGGATTACAGGCGTGAGCCACCATGTCTGGCCTTTATTTTCAATGTATATGTTAATATCAAAAACTTTACATTTCTAATTTAATCCACTCATTGCAATTGTTTGTGAATGCATTCCATTTATGCATTAGTAAAATGCATTATTAAAGACAGACAAATTAAGTCAGATATTTGGATTAATCATTAAGTGCCTCAAAGGAGCACTGCCCCTCAAAGTTCACCCACACACACCTCCCCTTCGTTACCTAGAGAAAAAGACCAAGGCCTGATGACAAATTTTATCATCAAACTTCTTAAGTGGCGCATGCCAACATTTAGAAAAGGAGGCTTTTCATCCAGAGAGAACTGCACTGTCCTACACCATCACAAACCAAACACCTTAATGAAAGTTTGAAAGAAATTCTCAGAC